GGGGGGGGGGGGGGGGGGGGGGGGGGGGGGGGGGGGGGGGGGGGGGGGGGGGGGAGCGTGTTCATGCGCGCGTCGTGTGTCTGTTTCTGTTTGGTGGTTTTCGAGCAAAGATCGTCGCACGCAGCAAGAACGTGTTGTGGTCTCCATCGAAGGTTATTATTGTTAGGAGGAACAAAGGAGCACTGCTGCTGAGGGGGGGGAAGGGGAGCGCTATCATAAAATAGTGCCGTGCACGCCTAGATATCGAAAGAACGCGAAAAAAGTACACCAAGGATTTCGCCAAAAAAGGCTTTTGAGACGAGCACGCACCTGAACTCCGCGCTGTAGGGCAAGAATGTATCCCTGGCACTGGATCCCGCAACGAACGGCCGCCACCTGCATGTTTCCCGCACCACCACGTCTCTGTTCTTGGTGAATGTCCGACGACGTTGTTGTTGGTAGTAGCCTAGCCAGCGCCTGGAAAACCGCTTGGTATGCGATTGCGGTTCGCGCAGTTTGCCGTGGGTGAACAGGCAGTAGCTCCCTTCTCGCCTCCGGTCCGTCAGTCGAAAGTTGTCCTGGAGTCGATGATGGGGATACCCCCGATTGATCCGTGGGTGACAACTCGTCTTGCGGCCGTAGCTGCTGGGAGTCCGGCAAAGAAGGTGGCGGTGGAAGGTGTTCTGAGGATGCAGGATGGGGGGGAGCTCTTGACGGGTCAGCTTGAAGTGCCTGCTCCCTCACGGACTCTCTGCGGTGTGATGGTCAAGCGAAAGGAGGCCGGGGAAGAGGGGGGGGTAACTCAACGCACTGGGGGCATAGAACATGACCTCAAGATACTGGCCACATCGGAATTTCCCGTGGACGCTTTGTTTACCTATATACCAAAAGAAGTCACCTATAGGTATTCCGCTCGGATTGTAGTTGGGGAGATCGACGGAGTGCCTCCTCAACCAAATCCAACCACAAAGTACCATGTGTGCGTCTTGCTGCCTCCCAGGCGAGACAAAACAGCAGTTGTCCAAGGAACAGATCTTCCGAGGGGTGCATGATACTCTCGTTTTTGATTACTACGACGTTGCAGGTTGGTTTCCGTTCGACAGTGCATCGGTCTCAGGAACACAGCTACAGTCGATCGCAATGGAACCACCAGAAGCAGCCATACTGACTGACGCCAAGTTCAAAGCTCTTGCTCAAAGCGCAACTCTATTACGGTGGAACACAATAATCAAAACCAAATTGGGCACTTCCCGTTCTCTCTCTCGAAAAAAAAAAACTGTCAAAATGCTCTCTCCCGCGAAGTTGATAGAAAAACACACACTCTTTTGCAACTTTTGCTCGCAATTATCGAGCAACACACATACTGGGTGGGTTCAACAGAAAGCCTGTTACATCAGCTGTCGAATGGCGCTGGTTTCATGCCCATCGAACAGTCACAGCACGAAGTGAACGGCGCCAAAAGCAGGCACTTCATGGCAGCAATTTTCAAGCGGGCATACTTNAACACACACACTGGGTGGGTTCAACAGAAAGCCTGTTACATCAGCTGTCGAATGGCGCTGGTTTCATGCCCATCGAACAGTCACAGCACGAAGTGAACGGCGCCAAAAGCAGGCACTTCATGGCAGCAATTTTCAAGCGGGCATACTTGTTGCGGTTCGGGAAAAAAGTTAGGTTCTAAAATAGAACCTGACGCAAACTGCCTGCTCAACATGGCGCGTACAACGCCAATTTTTTTTTTGAGTTTGAGCCAGCCGTTGTAGAGCAACTCGCCGTCCACGCCAGGCACCTGGCCAATCCAGCACCCACNCTGTGCAATCACTGAGGCCCAAGACTGGAGAGCTCACCACCCTGCAGCAGTCGCGGATTATTCTCATGCTGTACTTCGACCTGGTGAAAGGAGGCAGCTCTGAGAACCACGCAAAGGAGCAGGTGAGAACCAAGAAACATGACTGTTGCGTACAAATACCAGTATAAAGACGCATGTCGCTGTTACGTTTTTACACCAGCAGTGCCATGTACTTTTTTGGTACAAATGTATGTATGCATAGTCTATACATGNTCGCGCGGGACATCGCGAGGTCAGACGTGCTTCAACAGCAGCGTGAACGGTGAGAACAGGATCGTGTCAGCAAGGCTGCTGAAGCGGCGACTTCCAAGCTTCCCCCTCTCGCGCTGAAGTTTGTCGAGGACTCTGTGCAATCACTGAGGCCCAAGACTGGAGAGCTCACCACCCTGCAGCAGTCGCGGATTATTCTCATGCTGTACTTCGACCTGGTGAAAGGAGGCAGCTCTGAGAACCACGCAAAGGAGCAGGTGAGAACCAAGAAACATGGCTGTTGCGTACAAATACCAGTATAGAGACGCATGTCGTTGTTACGTTTTTACAGCAGCAGTGCCATGTACTTTTTTGGTACAAATGTATGTATGCATATACATACATCCCACCCAACATTTTTGTACAAGCAACAACAGTGCTTGGCATCATGCCAGTACCGCTGCCGGCCCATATCTTCGCATTGCTTGCACTGCTGTACTGATGCCCATTACTGCTGTACAATACTTGAGTGGTATGTATAACGGTATGCTGCCAGCTGCACAGCAGTGCATCAGTACAGCAGTTACAGCGCTCTATGCCGCTGAATGTAAAGGAATGTATGTGCATGGCACCACCATTCTCCTCGCGTGCGCTGTACGTTGTCTACACTCTGCCGTCCCTTTAACACCGGCTTTCGTACACCAACGCCATACACTGCAACGCAATACACTGCTGTATTCTTACAAACTTTTTCCCACCCTCCCTCTGTGTGGATGACCCATCTTTATCAGGTCGCGAAGACCTTGAGGATCGGTACGGACAAGGTCCTGGCGGTTCGCACACTCTGGTATGACAAGCAGGAGTTGTACGAGACCAACGGGAAGGGGCGAGGCAAGGCCACCAGCGTCGACGACGGGCGACGTGTCATTACCAAGGAGCAAGAGGATGGACTGCGCGAGTTCATCAAGGGCGAGCACGAGGCGGGACGTCAGGTCTTCCGCCGTACCGTTTAGGATTACTTGGAGTGTTCGTTCGGAGTAGAGATGTCGAATCGTGCCGTGGGAGGGTTGCCGCAGCGCCTTGGCTTCAAGCGCCGTAGGGGTAGGATCAAAATACCCCCGTTGAACGAGGAGAGGAAAAACCGCATCCGCCTC